AAAAAAAAAAAAAACAAGTCACGAAGGGAGAAAATTCTTTTTCACAGCACTGTATATTACTATTGTAAATATTTTCAATATCACAATGAAGTTTCTGTTTAAAAATACATATTTCTCCCTCTATAAAGAATTCCGCTTTTGCTTTGGACGAAGATCCACAGATGATGTCTTCCAGTAGTGTGAGAACAACAACAGAAGCCTTTAAAGTGAGCACATGCTGTTATTTCTCATTCAAACACACTGAAAACGAGATGTGTAGGCTCACAAGTAGTAACTTATTGTGTTATGTTTTTGTTTTAGGTTGTTGGGAGTGTCTTATATTTCACTACTTTCAGTGTTGATAAACTTGGACAGCCTCTGGTAAATGAAAACCCCCAGCTGACCGATGGATGGGATGTCCCAACGTATCTTTAACATGAATAAATTAAACATTTATTGCCTATGAAGTGCTGTAGTCAGATTTATTAAGTTTTAAAAATTCACAGCTGTGTAGACAAATGCATTATAGCTTCCTGAATTGCTGCAAAGTTATCAGCAAGTCTTCAACCAAGTCATTGGAACTGATGGCCAGGAAATAGAAATGAAAGACAAAAGGTAAGACTACAAAAATTCCATAGCTTTTCCTGTTTACAACTCTTCTTTGTTTGTGTGCTGGGTGGAATTTATAATGTATAATGATTCTGTCTCTGCTCTGTTCACTGTAGACCCAAGTCTATGTGTTTCAACTGTGGTTCAAGCAGTCACCAGCTGAGAGATTGTCCCAAGGTACCATTAATGATCTGCTAATCCAGGATGAATACAAGGACAGAACATAATTTAATATAAGAATGTATTTTTTCTCTCCTAGCCTAAAGACATGGCTGCAATTAATGAGAGAAGAAAGGAGTTCAATCAGAGCAACAACCAAGCCATGCAGAGTAACCAGAGATACCATGCTGATGAAGTGGAGGAGCGGTTTGCCAAATACAAGCCTGGAGTCATGAGGCAGGACTTTTTTTTTTTACTCTCCACACATCTTTATTTACTCACAATTTTAATTTAATTACATAATGTTGCAAAAGTGCATATTTTACAGGGTTATATTTACGTACCTCATTTCATAAAATGAAAAAAAAAGTGTTATCTGGGGACTCAATTTAAAATAAATAAAGGGTCAAAATTTGGGAATCATTAATGGGGGGAAAAAAATCGTAAAAATGAAAAATGGTTAAGGCACAGTCTCCCTGCAAACTGACAACTGTGGGAGAGAGAAACAAAATAAGATATAAGAGGGGAAAGAATGACCCCTGTTACATTTTATTATGATTATGAATTCCCTTGGAAATGACCACTAAGCGATCTTTTTTCATCATATGGGTGAAAATTGCCCAACGTTATTGTCCTAAGGTTTATGTTTGCAACAGTACCTTTTTCAGTACTCATGTTGAAATAAGTCTGTACTTCTCAGTTGAATTTTAAAAATGTATTGTATTTACAACATTTTACAACCACAGCAGCTTCCAGGTTCTTTGTCTGACAGTGTAATATTTGTTCTGTTTACATCTGTTTTTCTACCAAATTAATTACATGAAGAAGAAGCTGTCAGTGTCTCACTCAGAGTTTCTGAATCATAATCCTTGGCTTCAGCTTCTTGCATGCTGGTGGTAGACTTGCTGCAGTTAGCTGCATGTCCTTTAATACATTTGGGTTTCTGAAAGCGTAACCACACCCAAGACTGCTTTTGGCTCGCTGCTACTGGCGCCCTGTGAGCCTGTTGTTCTTGAGAGGTTGCAGTTTCAGCAACATTGGCAGTAAATTGACTTTTTCTTTTAAAGCGCTTTTCTACACTCTCTGAGCACTGAAAGCGCAACTTGCTTTATTCACCCATTCACACAAGTACTTTTTTCTAAGCTTTTTCTCGGTAAGTGCTTTCTATCTCACATTCGTACTCCAAAGGCTTCATCCGTTAGTTAGTTTATACCAAAGATATTTGGCATGTAGATCACATGGTTTTGGTCTCTATGTCACCTTAGACAAGTGTAATTTTTAGTCTTTTAATTTTTCATTTGATTTATTTACTGTGTTGTGCTGTTAAACAGTGAGGAGCTGCTGACAGCTCTGGGCATTGATGAGAACACCCTACCTCCTCTGATCTATCGCATGAGGCAGCTAGGTTACCCACCAGGTTGGCTCAAAGAGGCAGAGATGGAAAACTCTGGCTTATCACTGTATGACGGAAATGGTAAGTTTGAAAAAGAACTAAACAGCTTCACAATTTGTTTTCTTTGTTGAACAGAGTAAGTAGAAAAATAAAAGCTTCTGCAGTCTGCACAGATTATAGAGGATGTTTTTTTCTCTCTTACAGCATCAAGTGATGGCACTGTAACTGACAACACTAATTCACAAAACCTGTCATATGATGTTTCCAAACTGGTGGATTTCCCAGGTTTCAATGTAGCCGCACCACACAAAATGAAAGATGTAAGTGTTGCAGTCTGCCTTTTCAAATGTTTGACCTCCAGTACCGCCTGGTATCCAGTAAAAAGTAAATATGTGATGTACTGTTTCAAAACCATCAACATTAAATGTTGATTTGATGTCATAAAAATAAGAAAGGCGCAATGAAAGACTAGAAATATCTTGTTGAATAATTTCAACACAACACATTTTTAGGTAGATTGCAACAGATCAGTACTTGTGAAGCTAAATTTACATTCTCTAGTCTGGTTAAATCAAACTCTGCTTTGTTTCCCCCTTTGTTGCGATTTGTTTGTGTAGCCAGACATGCTTTGCATTCTGGCACACAGCAGAGTACACAAACATTTTTGATTTGATTGGGGTTTTCACTGTGTGAATATAAACCAAAACATGGGAAAAATAATAATAAATGTAAGGTTCTTTCTCAGTGTGAAATTGGAAGGAATTTGAGGTGTTTGTCATCTAAAAAAGATGATTTCAAAAAATAATTTGGTGAATCTAGAAAAAAATCGCTGCACATAGATATATGACTGAGATCCTCAGGCCAACAGACGGTTCTGCAATATCCACAGCTTTATAGTGGAGATCACTGACTGACTGAAAATGTAAACAGGACACAGAAATGACACGACTGCCACCTGTCATGTCATCTGACAACTAAAAATGTTAAATTCTGATGAGGAGAGGGACCATCTGAGTAGTTATCAGAAAAAAAACAGCGTCCATGTTTGTATGGGTGTCAGCCCTGTGAATGCTGAAACACACACACAGGGTCAGGAGCAACATTTTTCAGCCATCTAGACAGTTGTGGAGTAAATAAAAGTCCAGGTACTAAATTGCGTTAAAACACAACTAAAAAGACCCTGAGCTGAAAGAATGGGAAAATATTTTATTTCCTCATGAATTTGTACAGTGTTTTGTTTTTGTTTGTTTGTTTTTTTAATTTTTAAAAAGAGCTAATTTATACTGTGGTGTATATGAGCTTCTTATGACTTTTTGACAAATGTTGCTGGCATCAACAATGATTACATATTTTTAGTTTCCAAATTTGCTATGTTGTCTTTGTGTTATTTTCAATTAAATGTGGAGTTTAAATGGTTTACAACCCATTAAAGTATGCTGGGACCTTTTTTTTTGCTGTCTTTTTTATTAAGTTAAATAACAGTTTTTCTTTATTTCTGTTGTATCTTCAGGAGTTCCTGCATTATGGTTCAATTCCAATGCAGAGCAGCCACATGAAGCAAAACTATGCAGCCTACCTGTCCAGCTTCTTTCCCACGGTCTGTATCCCAGCTCCCTACTGACTTCTTGCAACGGCAGCTTCTCAACTTCAACCAAATTTTTATCGGCCACCACCTTGAGCAAAATTTAGCAGATTAGTGCTCATTCTTAGAAATAAGATATAGATTAGATATTTAAGCCATTACTGTTCTCATCGAGGACAAAATCTACTGTCTTGAGGTTACTTTGCTCTGTGCAACAGTTTATGGTGTTCACATGACCCATCCTTTAAAATCTCCTTTACGCATTTTACAGCATGAATCAACACTGATCCAACTGCACAGACCTCCATTTAATCCACAGGATTTCAATATTTCTACTTAAATATGTTGCTAAGAAAGGAAAAACAAAAGTCGTGCTTTTTGGTCTTATTGCATGTTGCTCTTACCAACAGCCTGGTGCCGCCTCCAGCAAGAGAAGACATGAATTTGACTCATCTCCACAGCTGAGGAAGAGGAGTAAGTTTAGCCCGGACCGGACCCCAGACAGGAGCTCGGACATGGATATTGAATCAGGTAACCGTACATCTGGGTGTCACAGCCTGCATTCATGTTCTCCTTGAATGGTTAGATTTCCAGAGTTGGGATCCCATCCATCCTACTTCACTTTGTGTTTTTAAGTTGGAATGTAAAAACTATGGATCTTCTAAAGATGAGTAGTTCTCATTTTACTGTTGTTGAACCAACATGTTGACCTGGCTGCTGCCAGTATATCAATGCTCTATGTAAATTGTTACCAGGATTATTGCTAATTAATAACTTTTTTAACAAGAGTAGATCACGCTGAGTTCACAGAAACAATGTTTTGGTTTGGTATTTGTAGCTCAGTTGCACAAAAATACACAGTTAGCACTCTGTGGATGATTTTATTTTATTTCTTCTCATAGATCCAGGAACACCTCATCAAATTCACAGCTCTGATGATTTCCAGTTCCAGCCACCACTGCCTCCTGGCTCTCCTTGCTTTAGTTCTCCTCCGCCTTTACCACAGGGCACTCCTCCTGCTACACCCACCCCCCCACCTCTCCCTAAAGGTACACCTCCACTTACTCCCACCAACGGCTCTCCAGCTGTGCGAGGGCGTGACTGGGTGGTGGTTGATGAGACTGGGGAGGGAACAGAGGATGACCTGACACTGGAGGAACTGGAGGAGCAGCAGAGACTGATCTGGGCAGCTCTAGAAAATGCTGACATGGCCTCTAACAGTGACTGTGAGACACCTGCCGCACAAACTCCTGTACCAAGTTCACCAAGTGTATCCACATCTGCACACGCGGACACAGAAACTGAAGACACGGATGAAGGAATGGACTCAATAAAACCTGAAGAACCTTCCCTAAGCAAAGAAAATCAACCGGAAGTTCAAGAGGGTTTGTCATTAAGCCCGGGACCAGTCAAAGTTAAGGACGATAGCCCTCAGAGTCCCGAACCAGCCGAAATCCAGGAAAGCACCCCTCAGAGTCCCGAGCCAGTGAAAACCCAAGACAGCATCCCTCAGAGTCCCGAGCCAGTGAAAACTCAGGACAGCACCCCTCAGAGTCCCGAGCTAGTTAAAACTCAGGACAGCACCCCTCAGAGTCCC